ATTTTTTCCACATTCATTTCCTCCTTGTGCCGATTTAAAATACCATTCAAAAGCCTTCTCTTTATTAATCGAAGTACCTTTACCATATTCATAACATAAGCCAAGACTATTTTGACCAGAACTATTTCCTTTTTCAGCAGATTTCATATACCATTCAAAGGCTTTTTTTCTATCATTAGCAGTGCCTATACCATATTCGTAGCATTTGCCAAGATTATGTTGACCAACGCTATTACCTCCTTTTGCAGATTTTAAATACCAGTTAAATGCTCTTATGTAGTTCTTTTTTATGCCTATGCCATAATGATAGCAACGACCAAAATCATTTTGACTTGTGGTACATCCCTTGTTGGCTGATACTGAATAACATTCAACAGCTTTTTCTTTATTCAATAAAGTTCCTAAACCGAGTTCATAATTATAACCTAAATTATTATATGCTAGATTATTTCCTTTAATTGCAGATTTTGTGAACCATTTTGATGCCTCATTATGATCTTTAGAAATACGTTTGCCCATATTATAGCAATACCCTATTATATTTTCTGCTCCTGCGTTTCCATCTTTTGCAGATTGTACGTACCAATTAAAAGAATGTTTAGAATTTTTAGTAACGCCATAACCACAATCATAACATTTACCAATATAAAATTTTCCTAAAGAAGAACCTTTGGCAACAGATTTTATAAATAATTGTAATGCTTTTGGTTGATTTACCATAACTCCTTTTCCACTTATATACAGTAAACCAAGTGAAATCAATCCAATAAGTTGATTGTCTTTTAATAAACAGAAATTGATATTGGGTAAATAAAAACCTTCTGCTGCTTGATTATACATATTAAATGCTGTATCATAATCAACAATTGTACCAATTCCATATTCATAAAAAAAACCAATAATACTTGTATAGTAATATCTGCATTGGTGATTATAATATTGTTTTAGAATTTCATCTGGATTTTTGTTATTATCATCTATATATTTTTTTACACTATGTATTATAGAATTTGTTGTAAGTTCTGAAGCAGTTTGTATATTGAATTGTGATATAAATAATTGATTTAAGTTGTAAAGAAAATTTTGATTCCATGAAAATGAATCTGCAATAATGGGTAAACTATTTGCCAAATTTGGCGCGTTAGTTTGATTTTTGGGCAAGTTATCATTATCAAATTCTTGATTTAAAGTTGTAATGATTGAAGAAATTATATTTAATTCCTTGGTTGTTTTATCATATAAATTAGCGTAATAAATTATCAAATCATCATCTGCAGTTAAGTTTTTCTTTTCTGTTATGAGTTGTTTTTTATTTTTATCCTCATTATAATTCGTAAAAAATTTTTCTTCACTACTATAATCAATATTGTTTAGGTCATTACAAATATGCTGAATAATGGGCCGATTATTTGAATCATGTTGCCAACATTCTAAAAGTAAATATAAAAATTTTTAATTGCATTTTGTTTGTATTATTAGAATAATATTTATAATTAAAACTTACCAGTAAAGATTTTAATATAACTCTTTGGAGTTCCTGAGACAACAATTTCACGTTTTCCATGAATAATTGCGTTTAATAAATAATAACTATAAGGAGCTTCTGTTTCAAATGGAATCGTCCCACTTGAAATTGCCCAAAGAAGAATTCCAATACTGTATATATCTGAACTTTTGTTAAGCTTATAAATTTCACGATTTTGTAAATATTGAGGGTCTATGTATTGAATATGATTAAATATATCCAAAATCTTTATCTGATATTGAAAAGCTACTTTGATATCTCCTTT